GAGGAGGAGAAAAACTGTCAAGATGTGAGGAAGCCTGGTGTGCTGTACCCTTCTTCTTTGTTCTGTATTTTCTCCCCCATGTTGCCTGCCTGCGGGGGATGAAGAGCGTACCCTGTGTAGAACAGGGGTGCTGACTGGCCGGCTGTGGGCTGGGAGACCGGGCAGGGATGGATTACAGCTGCCTTGTTGCTCAGCGGGGACATCTCCTTTCTCTGCCAAGGTGGTGGTGATGTTCATGTAAGAAACCCTATCTTGAGACCTCCGTCCTCTTGTTGAAGGCTGGCGAGGCCCAGACCTGCAGGAGAAGAAGGGGGAGGAAAGCTGCCCGCCCTTTGGACAGGATGCTCAGGTCTGGGCTGAAAGCTTGCCAGCCTCTCGACTGCGACTAAGTGAGAAGTAATTTTGACAGGTTTGGATTCATGCGGGGAAAAATACCAGCAGAATTACATTTAATTAACCAAAATCTGTAAGCTTTCTGTCCACCCCAGGAATTTAATGTTTTTTGCTTTGTCCACTGATAGCTTTGGATCAAAATTGGAAGTGGTCATTAGCAGTTTGTTGCTAAACAATATTCTCAGGGTTATTGGTACCAATCAGACACAATTTTTAGCCATTTATTTTTCACTTTGACATTAAAATTACTTGATTTTTATGTGTTTTCTTCTCACTCAGTTTCCTATGGTGTACCCTTTCCCATGTCACACAAACCAAACTGCTTTGTTTTCTCTGTCTTTCCGGTTTGCCGTTTGTACCGTGTCCTCAGCTGAGATTCAGACTTTTTCCCCTCCAGTAGTTTTGACCAAAATCCTCTGGCAAATGAAGCTGGTTTCTTGTTTTGCAGAGAGGACGGAAGATAGGAGAAAGGCACAAGATTGACTTGGGGGGGGGCAGTAAACCTAGGTCACATCTTCTTGTTACACTAATACCTATCAGGTGCTTGACCACAGTGTAATAAATGTTTCCTCTTTACAGAGGAGTGGCTGTAGTTCCTAAAGCAGTGCCATACAGTTTAATAATTCTTGTTAATGTGTAGTTGGAATTAAAGAATAGGCATAAACCAAACAGCTGGATTTAGTGCAGTTGTGCC